TTATGTTAAATCGGCGGACAGTAATTGTCTTCCTCAACAGAGAGTGGAGACTTCTAAAACAAATAACTTGTTGTTTTGGGAGAGGATGTCGTAAACTTCTCTTACCTGTACGGGCATATGCAAATGCAAATGCTGAAGTACAAAATGCGTCACCGATTGCCCTCGACAAACAACTAATGCTAGTCGACCCGAAGTGAATGCAATGTGTATTTAAACGAAAACTTGCAATCACAAGTGCGGATGTGTGTACCTTCACGTGGTGGGGCTGAAAACGCTGTTTCAGTAAAGAAACAGTAGGCAAAACATACAACGCTTGCCCCTAGGGCAAAAGGCCAATCGGCCAAATAAAAGAAATAACACGGACCATGACAACACGTGGTGAGGTGCGGCTTGTAAACGCCCAAACATTCATCGCGGAGTCTACCACACCCCAAGAGCTTAACTCGAGCCCAGAAAAGCCAAAATCCGGGATTCACTTGAGGGGAAATCTCTCGGGATTGTGGTAGCGCGCGCCCTTTTAGAAGACGGGAGACCGCTCCGGGAGCTAGTTGCAGAGGACCAATGGTCCGGGCAATCCGAATTTAATTCGAGTAGATAAGAAATTACTCCCTATCGACGAGCAATCAGTAGGTGCCACTATTGTGGGTAAAGAGTCGCGGCATAGCAGTACGTCAGCACGTAGTCATAGCAGCCACCCAAAGTTCTTTGCCTCGAGCTCCGGGAGTAAGGCCCGACACCTTTGTGTGAGAAAACACAATTTGAACGCTAATTTCGAACGCTAAAACACCTGATTTGAGCCTGGATCTCGGAAATTGATTCGAATGAGTGGCATGACTGGCACGAATATTGAAAACTGCCTGGGGAGTCGCCTTGTCGGCTAGGCGAGACCCCGCCCCTGACCCAAGTCAGAAAATATCAATCGAAAGAGCAGAGATCAATATCAGCGAGTCATAAAAGCCTTCCATAGAAATCGAAATCCGAGACTCGGGCAAAAATCAGGACACAACCTTTTCGAATAACGGACACCCACCAGCATGAGCGGGGATGACCGAAACGCAATGGGAAGACGTGCCTCGGTACGTCGAAGCGATGGACCTGTGAGTCGTGGGAGAAATCCCTTAATACAGGAACGCAGGGTGGGATGATCTTCGAACGCGAGCCCAGGAGGGGAGGCTTAGCTGGTTGATCGTCTTAGGAATTTCCTCTGGCTGTCTTGGCTGAGTCTTTCTTCTGACATCCCAATTTGGGTTGGCCTCTGCGGGGTAGTGGTACCAGGTCAAGCAAATCTCGTAAGATTTGTATGCCGCGTGCTTCCGACGCGGTAGACGTTGGGGCAACTAGAGTCCCGTCGCGCCCAAACCGAGGGTCAAGCCTTTAGTTCCGCTCTCCTTGAGCGTCGAACCGTGAAAAGATCGGTACTCCTTTCGAGGAGGTCGCCGCCTTAGATCAAAAAGGTTCCGACTCGCTGTGTGCGTCAGGGATGTCGTAGCAAACTTGACTTCCGGATCTCCAATGTGTTTGAAAGCGAAGGAGTGAAAGACAGTGGGCTATGCCAACCTATTGGCGCCCAGAGAGAGGGGTGGTAATGTTTGATTACGCTGCGCCACCCTCAAAGCGGAAAAGTATGAACAACACACATACACTAACTGTTTAAGTAACCATAAAATCTTATTTATACTTTAATATTTTGGAAGCAGCAACAGATTTGGAAAATATTGAATAGAACGTGAGACATGGTGATTTTAATTCAATTGTTGCGTTGGCCACTCAAGCCGTTCATCAAGCACATTTTCCGATGCTTGTTATATCAGCACATCTCGCGTTCTATTCAATATCTTTCAAATCTGAAAAAATCGATTTTCAGAATAGAAATATACATAAATTGTAAATAATTGAATTGAATCAGTGTTTTATTTATTAGTTTATCTAACGTGAAGAAACCCTCATTTTTAATGAATTGGAATAATTTACATTGTGAAGCGTAAACAACGTATTATAATGATAATTTTAACGGTTTTGAAAATTCTTTTCATCGCTAAAGCTTCCATACTTTTTTCCTATTCTTACTTAAGTTATATAGAGACGAACATTGAAAACACGTATTACAAGTTTTGAACAAAATTTTGAGTTGTCGTGAGAGATTGGCGTAAAATCAATGTCTTCGATGTTCGTCGATAACGGACAAGGGACATCGGGTATTATCTTAAGGTCTACAAAAAGTTATTTCCAAAAGTATGATATATGTTGTCGATGCATGTTTTAATGTCGAATACGATGGTGCTATTAGATTTATAATAAAACCTATTCTGTCAAAAACTAGAAGCAAAAAACCACTAAAAATCATTAAGAAATTCAGTTTTTGGCTTTTAGCGCTTGACAGGGTAAGTTTTATGATAAATCTAATTGCTCCATTGTATTCTACGTAAAAAAATACATCGAAAATATATATCATACATTTGGAAATAACTTTTTGTAGTCCTTAAGAATAACATAGTATCCGCTACATCGGCTAAAGAGAGAAAAATGAATATATATGGATAATTGGCAAAGAAAAATCTATTCAGAGAAACTGAGAGACACGTATCCAATATTTTCGACTAAAAAAGGTGTGTACAACGTTTCATCAAAATCCGTGACCCACAAGGTTGGCACTCTCCTTGTAAGTCAAAGTAGTTGTAACTTTTTCATCCAGTATGCAATCATCTTTTTCAAGTTCAGTGCAATTTTCATCCCGATTGTTATTTTCTGAAAAATCCATATGATGGACAGCCAAAAACGTGAGAAGTTACAGACTGGACGTCAGGATACTTTACAGAGCTTCTATTCTTTTTGTTATAGCCGACTGTTTTATACAAATAAAAATACTAATCAGTTTTGCCGTCACAAGGTTCTATCCAAAGCATTAGATCGAGTTGATCTGATTTGTTTGACATATCCTACATATGATTTTTAAAGTCCATATATTACTTAAAACATAAAATAGTACACGAAATAATTTTTCATAATTGTCTTGTACACTAATCGTGCACTACTTTCTGTATTGTTTTAAATTCAATACTCGAGACTGTGACTTTCAGAATATGGAAACTTAGAATCAACGAGTTGATATTTTACAAGTTTATGAATTTTATTTTATAGTAATTAAAAATGTTATATCCTTAGATTTTTTGCGAGATCTAACACATTCTACAAAATGAAATGTACGCCGAGTCAGTCACTAACTCACTATTTTATATTGATTTTTAATTTAAATTTAATGATCGCGATTGGGTTTTCTGCTTAAATAAACGTAATGACTTTCAAATTTGCAGATTAAAATATTTTAAACTAGGATAGTAGTTGTTTTTAATTCGATTTCCTGTAGACCTTCTGATAACGTTAAGCCAAAGAAGATGGGGTCAAACGACACGTACTTGATATAAGCTTGTTGAAAGATATGAAATATATGAGTATTGGGGAGCATAGACTACTTTTGTTGGTATGCAATATTTGTCCTTAATATAAACTTGAAAATAGCTCTTAAAAAATAAAAAAAAATATATCTAAACGTAGCATTTTCCGGTATTTTTGAATCTGCAGTCCAACATTCTATTGTACAAAAATAAACATTTGACCTTTAAATGTACTTGAATGTGACGTGATGGAAAACTAACGTAGGTGAGATTTGAATTCAGCAAGCCAAAAAACATAAAATTACCAATGCTTTTAATACAATGAATCGTGAGATTCTACTGGAAAAATTAAATGGATTTGGAATTAGAGCAATAAAAATGATCTGTTTGAGAGATCTTTAACTGATAGAAAACAATATATTTCGTTTCACAACTGCAACAATGATACAACTATGATTAATATACTTGATTTTCTTCAAGAAGCCATCCTAGATCCATTGCTATACATACATCAATAATTTACTATGGATATTTCTAGATAATCCAATTACATTCTATGTTGATGATACTGTAATTGTTAGTATTGAGAACACTTGGATGAGGACTAAAACTAAAATAAATAACTACCTAATTGAAGTTAGCAATTAACTGGGATTAGACCGTTTGTCGCTTAATTTTCAGAAAACAGTATATATCAGTATTGAGTGCATCATGATAATACCCGAAAGAAACTGAACATCAACATCAAATTTAAATGGATATAGAGGGTGACAAACTTTTAGGGATAGTGTTGGAATGAAATGAAAACATTATGTAGATTATATTACTAAGATCAGATATATTATAAATGTCATATCATAAATGAATAATTTTATGGATATAAAAGCATTAAAGGTAATATATTGTACTTTATTTCAGAATATTACCACTTATTTTTTTATATTAACAACTTAGCAATATCCAAAAAATACCAAGTAAACTTATAAAAGTACTGCATAAAAAAAATAAATAACCTTTCACTTCCACCTTCAATAAAAAAGGATTTTCTATTAATAGCGGTGAAAGTGAACCGTAGAAACTTATTAATGAAATATATCACTTCAAGTAGCATAACTAGATATAAGATGTTCATGCTAGATGTTAACAAAATACTAGCCCAACAGACATCAATAAGATGCAATAAAAATTTGCAGGAAATTCGATAAAGACATAAAAAAGTCTTAATATGAATCAATCTGGCTGTACGTATAGTGAAAATTAAGAATTGAATACAGGCAAAAATACAAATAACTGATGGATATGGACATTGTCAAAGGCGTGGATCTTTTAAGGAAATGTTAATAATCACATATTATCAAGTTTTCTTCTTTTTTATTATTTGTATTTTCTTTTGTTCTTTTATTATTTGTTAATTTTTCGTATAGGTAACTAGTTTACCTCTGTAATCAATGTTTCATTGTTTTACGGTAATGATAATTTTCTATACGGTAATATAATTTTGGTAATAAGTTATTCAAAAATAGATAGAAAGAGAGAGAAAGAGAGAGAGAGAGAGAAAGAAAGAGAGAGGGAGAGAGAGAAATAAATAAGCAGATCATGTGCACCTACCCGAGAGATTGACTATTCGTTCGTTGTTAATGGCCAAGAATAATTTAGGTGAATAGGTATATCCGTATTTTGCTCTTTTCCTCGTGTATCCAACACTAGCTCCCAAGTGCTTCGTTCCATTGCTGTCGAGGCCAATGTCAATGAAAGTCTCATCATCCGATCTTTTGTATGTGCCTGAGACGATGGAATGATCATCGAGCAAGGATATTCAATACAACTATGTATTTGTTTATTTATTTATTTATTTATTTATGGATAATTTCTTTTACTTGATACCTTCAGCAATCAAAGAGTTGCCCTTCGATTTAAGCAGCATTGTCACGTTATTGTTGAGAGCATCGAAGGAAATCATCGCACTTATTTCTCGTTGCATTTGTGAGCCAGGAGTATCAAAAGCTAGCCTAATTGTACTTTCATTCTGAAAAAAGAAGCAGAATAAAGGAACAAGTATCGATAGGCTTAATCGAATAATCATGAGGAGTGATAAAATAAACTTTCAAGAAAAGCAACAAATAAAAAAAAGCAACAGTCGTAGCATTTACCTCGGTTCGCTTCCATTTGTACTCCAAAAGGTAACTGTTGGCCGTAGGGTCAGCCTTGATGAGAGATAACTTGAATTTAGTGGGTCCGTTGAGTACAAAGTAGGAACCATTCACGTCCTTAGTGACATTGGGAAACTGATAATCAGCACAGAGCTTCAAACCGATTAACCTGTCGAGAGCAGACCAACTGCAGGTGGTGTTTTTTATGACTGACGGATGCTGCTTCGGGGTAGTGACATTCTTAGCTTGGAGCAGGATACCGATCGGATGCTCTTTATATTCGGCGCCATTAAGCCTAATCAATAGGACGTCAGTTGTCAGCGAGAACACTTCCATCCTGTGACTAGGTATTTTCCAGTTAAGGCGTGCGAGTCTGAGGCTTTTGATCTGTAAATCCGCCTCGACCGCACCGACCGAGTGCATGCTGCTCTTGAGTTTGAGACCAGCGCTCTTATAGAAGGCATCGACTACCATAGTGCCGGTGACGTCGACACTAACACTGAGAGAGAAGAAATAATTAGCCGTGTCATGATCTCAAAATGAATATAACATTCTATATAATCATTCTATATACATCTAGTCTGAAATATACCTAGGCATAAGGCTTGCATTAAGGCCAAGTTCGCCGTTACTCATGAGTTTTTGGCTATCAAGCATACCCGAGAGCTTTATGTTGCAAGCGGCTGAACCGGAGAGATCGAGGCGTACGGGTAGTCCGGCGCTTGTAGGTACCACGTAAGACAAATCGAGGAACATGGCTGTATTTTCGTAATGCATGACTTCTTTGCCCGATAGTATCTGTTGAACTGTGCGCCAAGGGTCAAGACTGGCCAAGTTATCGCGGATCTCGCGGTCACTGTTGAACGTCGCGAACTTAAGCTCGTTACCGAACAACCGGTAGCTAAGACTGATGCGTGGCCGCTCGAATTCGTTGTCGATAACATTGGGCATGGCGCGCACTCGCTGCCAATGCTCCTCGGGTCCTTCGGACCCTTTCTTGTCACCAGATTTCTCGGATGCTGAGCGCAGCTGGCGTAGTAGCTGGCGAAAGTGGTCGGCCACCTTGACACCGCTAAAGGGCCCTCGTGGCCCGAACAGACCCTCTGCGTAGTATTCCAGGCCTTCAGTGCGCACACTTACCTCTAGTAAATTAATCGATTCACCGAATAGGTCGAGGGTGAAGTTAAAGGAGGCAGTTCGTGGGATGTAGGATTTGGGTGAAAACACAACACTTGTCTGCGAGTTGGCCCCAAAATTGTACTCTTCGGAAAAGAAACTGCTCTCGTAGCTACGGGAGAACTTGCGCATGTCGCTGTTGAATTTGTTGCCCAGGTCTCGATCATTTAGCAAGCTCTGGATCTCAATTCGTGTCGGCGATGATGATGATAACATGTTTTTTAGATGACTCCACACGAACGAACCCACTGCGAAGAGATACACAAATGCAGTATCAGATGTTAGGCGACAGTATTGACAAGAGACCGTCTTACGTTACTCGGTGGTTGCTACAAATCGATGTATGTATTACCTTGGTTTACTTGTTCTTCCTCGAGGGTGCGCCTGATAAGCTTGATAATATTGTAATCTGGACAGCGCATCACTTGCAAGTACGAGGCGATCCGTATCTCCGTGTCAATGCTAAAGTTTCGGTATTGCTTAAGAAAGAATTGGTCTCTCGATTTTTCACATGATGGCAACCGACGGTGGGCCTCGATAGCTGCGAGCTTCACTTCCATCGGTATAAATCCACTTTCATCTGTCACACATTTATGCAATTTTTCAAGCAAAGTCTCGCTCTTTAGGCCAGCGTTTCCTATGGCTTTTAGTGCCTCCAACGTCTGTTGAGAGAATCACACATCTACAATGTAGTTAAACGTATTTAGTAGTTCATTGATCTCTCTTTACAAATCTCACCTGCTTTATCTCATTTCTCTCGTGAGGTCGCGGCACACAGCCCTTATCCACATTGCCCTCTAGAAAGTTGATGAGCTTTCGCACGGGATCAAGACTGGCACAGCTCGAGCCGTGATTTTCGCAGTATGTATGTACAACTGCAGAGTAACTAAGTACGAACTGGGCCTCGGAAATATTGGCCTCGAAATCAAGCAGCGGTGCCAACGCGTAGATCGTGTGACGATCCGGCCTCGGAATCAGCGTAAAAGCCGTTATCCAAAAGTTTACTTTTTCCTTATCTACTGCACGTTTGATTATCAGATCTTTCATCACGTTCACTGCTGCATTACTACCAATGTAGGGCAGTGCACTTATTATATGCTTCCTGCAACATTATTTCAAGGCTTATGAACATAGAAATGGATCTCAAAACATTTTTGCTCAAAAAATACAAGCCTACCATTCAAACAAAGGTAAGCTTGTATAAAATCTTAAAGTTTTGCCACTGGGGTTACGTAAGCATTCACTTAAACTCTAAGTCAGAGTATATATGTAAAAATATGTAAAGAATTGAAACCATTCAGTTAAAAATATTCGATTGTTCTGTTAAAAATATTTATTGATATTTGCAAGGTCTTCTTAACGAGTGGAAAAATATTTGTGCTATAACAAAATGTTATATTTAAAATTTTTGCAATTTGATAAAAATAACAATTATATATAGAAATATCTAAAATATAATAAAGCATGAATTATTATGGTTTCTTTATTCGTACAAATATTTATCAATGAAAATGTTATTGATTTAAATTCAACTAATGTCACCTAGAGAGTCTAATTGACTATAAATATTTGGCGCACTGTTTTTTTGAACGATTGTCTGTGATAGCTGTCGTAAATTCAGCGCCCGCGTTTAAGAACTACAGAATTATAAGCCTTGTTGATAATTTAAAAATCTGAGCCTTAAAAGATGAGACAATAGGAATGCACCTATGATAGCAGAGAGCGGTATCGCGTGAGCAAAACAGCAGTTACATATGAGAAAGAACGTGAGAGTTATACCTAGCAGAGTTGCAAACGGTTTGAGCACGTTGGAACAGCTGTGAGAGACCGTTGTAATCGAGCATGCGAGCTGAATGTATGAACTTAGTAAAGGTCTCAGAGAAGTTGAGGTGCAGCTCATGAGGTGTGCCTAATATACACATAGCCTTTAGAAGATCACGTGATGTCCTGAGCTCGCCGTACATCGTGCGCGAAGATTTAGTATGGTCATAAAGAAGGTTGGTACGCTTTGAGTGAACGAAACCCTCTAACTCGTCCTTGTTCTCATCAGCGAAAGGGCTCTCATTGAGCTCTTCCATAAGGTCTAAGCTCGCGCTTACCTGTAACACAAGACAACTCAGTGACGACCCAAAGCTTTACAACTTCAGAACCGTAATTTGCAGGTGCAACTCGCAATATACCTGCGCGCGGGCGCCCGCTCCAGTCCCGTTTGACAATGGTCTGAGCTTGTGATGATCACGGCAGTGCACATGTTGGTAGATGTTGTGGTCAATGGTGATCTCGCACTCTCTTTCTGAATCGAGTAGTGGTTGACGGAGTGCATGCGTTCGCGACAACGGGCTGCGATAGCTCTGCGACTGGACGATCGACAGGTGTTTACCGCTTTGCCGGCAACTCGCCAAATTCTTATTCTTGAGCACGATTAGACTGGTCTTACGTGCCTCGTGCAATCGATATTCGGTTTCGCAGATTCCTGCGAATATTCAACATTATATTACTTACCAGTTCATCAGGCACGTGCATCGGTGATGGCTAGCAACTCTAAACTCACCACTGACGTCGAGCTCTTCATGACGACGGTCCACGTCGAAGCGCAGCATCGTATTCTGTAGCATGGAGAGTGCGCCGCGCTTAATGTTGAGCGCCCAGGTCTCCTCTGAGTCTACGGGACATAGTTCGCGTACAAATCCGTCATCGAAAGCGAAGCGTAGTAAATGCTGCTCTAACCCGACTTGGAACATGGTATTTGCGCGGTCCGGGAACTCACTATCGAAGCTTGAGCGCTTGTGGCTCAAACTAACATTGCCGAAGCGCAACGAGCCCTCGCATGGCGTCATAAATCGCAGCGTCATGTCCGCCTCCAGATATAGTCGTGATTCACTTTCATTACCGCCGGAATCGCCAAAATTCGCGCTCACGTCCACTCTGTATCTGTACTTGTAGTTCACTTTCTCTTGGTATTTGAATTTTCGACCCTCGGCTCGGCCATTTACTGAAAATTTTAACATTTATGAATACTACAATTTTCAGCAAGCTTGAATAAGTTTAATTGAGCTACTATGCGCTTGCTAACTAAAGTATACTAACTGTTACAAATTTTTCAAGGACGGTACTTTTTTAAATAATAAATTTTGTTTTCTCTACCACATCAAAAATTGTAAAATTAGAAAAAATGTCTTGACTTTAAAGAAACTTTCCTCCTGTAGAAGTTGAAAGATCTTGACACATGCTTATGATAGATTGGTCGGAAGGCTTAACCTTAAGTAGGGGGACATAAAAGTTTCATCTGTTGACGCTTTGGATCGAGCTAAGTTTACCCGGATAAGCTTGATCTCTATAAACGGGTTTTCCAGTGCAGCTGGGTGGTCTCAAGTAGAATGGGAGTTGATTTATCCAGGCAAGCTGGATTTCTAAAAATAGGTTGTCTAGTGTTGCTGAGGTACTCGAACTGGAAGAGGTGCTGAAGCTGGTAATCGAGGGAGCAGATACCTTAAATTACGGGAGAGTAGACAAGAATGACTCAAATACTCAGATGGCTAAAAAACAACCCTCCAATCTAAAGTGCGGAACACTATGTCACAAGATGCATGGTACAACGAATACTGTATCTTGAATGATTCCAAAAATGTTGTGGCATCGTCGGAGAAAGCATCTCTTAAACTTTCAGAATATGACCCCTACAATTTATTTTATGCCTGTAACATTAATTATGAGCACTCGAAGACCAGTGTACTGAGAGTGACGTTTTCGGTCGAAATGGATTAAGCAGATACCGGATGGTGTACTGATTATGAGCCTAGTTAAACGATCGATAGCCATCCTCAAGAACCAAAACTATAGACTTCTGACAGGTGTCAGAAAAGCAACCTTTAAGTTTTTAGATCGCACTAAGCTAAATAATATCGGTAAAACGAACCAAGAGGAAACGAACTTACGGAGGGAGCGTTTAGCAATACCGCTCGAGGTTACTTAGAAACGTCAGAAAATTAATTAGGGAAATACTGAGTAGAAAAGTGCAATGTTAATGGAAAGAAGAAATTCTACTACTTATAATCAATAAGGGATGTCCACAAACAGGGGGGTTGTCTCCACTTCTCCGTATATTGTGTGGTCGTTGATGAGTTAATACGCACTTTGGACAGAGAGGGGATTATCGGAGAGGGGTATGCTAATGATTTCGCTATCTCTGTTAAGGGCAAAGTTGAAAAAGTCTTATCAAAACTCTTGAAAAAAGTACTGATGACTGTCCAAAAGGCGGTGTCAAAGAAACTCTCTGACTATTCACCCTACCCAGACAGAAATAGTTATTTTAAGGAGGAAACACAAAAGTAAGGTAAATGAACGAGTTAGTTTCTATGGGGAATAAATACTGTATGCAGAAGGGTAAATCATCTAGGTATATATCTAGATAAATAACTGAATTGAATGAAGTATCTCTAGTTACAGAACAAAAAGGAACTAAATATATTTATGTAGTATAGAGCGACGATCAGGATACGCTAGGAGGCTTGAACCTTGAAAAGCTTTATAGATCTATAAAGCTGTACTGATACCGAAGCTTATCTATATAGCAATGGTGGAAAGCAATCGAAAAAGTTATCTCGAGAATAGATTCGTATTAAGGAGTACACCCACAGAAATAGTTAGGATGATACTAGACATATCGGAAATAGATCTTGAAATCAAGGGGTGTACTGCTAGGACAGCGTACAGACTAACGTGCACCAAAGAATAAATAGAAAATAGGATGGGACATACTAACATCTAAAAAGTATTATCAAGAGGGGCCATGTAAATAGCACTTCAAGATAAAACAATGAAATACCTTGTTTGCGGGAAACGTTTTAAAACGAAAATATCGAAAAGAGAAGAATGGATAAACAATATAGCCCTCGACCATGAAAACATTAGGTTTGAGATCTGTGAACCCAGACGGAGCTCGGATTCGGTGCATAGCTTGAGAGACTATATTACGGTCGTTCAGGCAGAAATACCTGCCATTGACATACAGTACCCGGCACGTACTTTTGCCTACCTTGAGACGAAATTTGCCAAACTTTAAAGTTTTATATCTCAGCGAAAAAGAGTCGTACAATAAAAAATTTGACGCCATTTTAATTAAGGTAATAACAAAAGCTGTAAGTAACGTGAAGATAATATTGTTTGTACTAGAATTAAGTTTTTTTTTACTTAAAAAATGAACATAACAAATTTTTTTTGCCTATATACAAATTTATTTATTTGCTACGAACATCAGCGGATCATTGAAAATCTAAGCAAAATTAAAAGGTGGAATGTTCCTCTTTAAAATAAGAGTGGCAGAACTTATTTCTGATTTTTTTATAGAGAGATATAGCTTTTTTTTATAAAAAAAATCGTTTTTTTTTCATCAGCTCATATCTCGATTGCTATGCATTAAATAAAAAAACTTTAAAGATAAGAATTGTTTCTTTTTTGGTAAAGTATACAAAAATAAAGTGAAAACTAAAATCTGGAAAAAAATTTTTGTTTTTCATTTTTTCACGCTAACCATTTTTTTATTTTTCATATTTTTTATTTTTTTTATATTTAATTATGGTCAAAAGTTTCAAACAAATTTTCAATAATAAATTTTTAGTTAAGTTTACCAATAAATAAGTAAATAAATAAATAGAAAGAAATAATTTCTAGATACTTTTATAAAGTAATACATACTTATTATTTAGGACTTCCAGTTGGACGCTGAAACGATAGACAATGCAGTGTAACGCAGCACACAAGAAATCAAAGTTTAAAAGAAAATAAGTGAAGGTTTTGAGTGAAAAGTAGCAGTAAAGGAAATTATTATAGCAGGAAGAAAAAAAGAAGAGGCGCAAGTGAGGTTAGGTGTGAAGGAGAAAATCACAGAAAAAGTAGGAAAGAAGAAAGAAGAATGTGTGACGAGACGAATCCGAAGATGTGACGTAGTAGCAGTGTATAACAACGAAGGAATCAATAAAATGAGAAGAGAGCTGGAAAAAGTGTTAGATGAAAGAGAAGATAAAGCAAACGGCGTACTGATAATTGAGAATTTTAACGCAAGAGTAGGGGAGGCACAAGAAGAAGAAATCAACAGCAGGAGAAGAAAATCACAGGACAAGATAAGAAACAAAGAAGGAAAGAGAATGTTAGAACTGTGTGAGGAGCTGGCGAGGGGGGGGGGGGGGGGGGGATTATAAGAAATGGAAACACTGAAGGCGACTGGGAAGAAGAAATAACATATATAAGTTCAGGATGCATCTCTACTCTCGACTATATCGTTGAGAGGCAGGATGCAACAGGAGATATAGTGGAAAGAGTGAAAATAGAGGGAAGCCCAGCATCGGACCATCTACCCATTTCATTTGAGATTGACGCAGGAACAGAGGAAAACCCGGAAGCAAGTGAGGAGCTGAATGAAGACGATGATGAACAGAGAGTGGTAACGAGAATAGTATGGGAAGAAGGAAAGAAAACGGAATACAGGGAAGAATTAAAGAAGAGAGAGAAGGATTGGAACACGAAAACAAAAGAAGGAAGATGCTAAAGGATAAAAAAGAGTTTACTGGAAGTAACAGAAAAATTAGGGCTACTAAGAGTTATAATGAATAGGACGAGAGGAACTGTAGAGAAAAAGGAATGGAAGGCCACGGAATACAAGGAAATGAACAGACGAGTTTGGAAAAAACTTAATAAATATCTACTGAAAAAAGAAGATAAGGATAGAGAAGAATATAATGAACTAAGGAGAATGCTAAGAGATCTAGAGAACAAGAAGAAAAGGGGGTTATCAGAAGAAAAGTAGTCAAGGCCCGAAAAAAGTAGAAGAGGAACAAATTTCTGGGAAGCATTGAAAAGCTTTAGGAAAAGAAAAAGTAAGAAGGGTTGCAGAATAACTGAGAAGGAATGGTTGAAGCATTTTAGACCTGACTAAAAAGAAAGAATGGAACGGAGGGACCAGGAAGGAGAGATAGAAGCGGACCCGGAAGAGAAAGAAGAAAGAAATGAAGAAAGAAGAGAGGACGAAGAAAAGAGGCTCTGGAGCGATCAGAGCGTCATGAATAAAGTGATAATTAGAGGAGAGGTGGAGAGGGCTATAAAGGGAATTAAAAAAGGAAAAGCAGCGGGACAGGACGGAATTCCAGGAGAGTTTTACAAAAATATGACGGAAGGATGGCTCACAGAATTAATAGAAACGTTGAACGAGATATAGGTCACCGGGACGTTACCAAAGGAATGTAAAAAAGCCCGCATTTTCCTAATTCACAAAGCTGACGAGGAAAATAAAGCTGAGAATTACAGAAGGGTATCACTGCTGGACGTGGGCTACAAGATTTTTTCAGGAATTTTAAATGACAGACTTAGATTCTGGATAGAAGAGGAAGGCATATTAGGAGAGAGTCAGGCAAGATTTAGCATGGAAAGAGGAACAAGGGTTCATATTTTCACCTCAAACAGTATAATAGAGAATAAAATCAAGAGAAAAAGAGGGAACATTTATTTGACATTCATTGACTTTAAGAGAGCATTCAATTCGGTGGACAGAAAAATTTTGATGAGGAAACTGTTAAGGATATTAAATGAGATATACAGAGAATCAACATGCTAAGTGATAATGGACAAAAGGATTTCAAAGGAGTTCAGAACCACGAGAGGGGTTAAGCAAAGTTAAGTCCCACTAAGTCCGACACTTTTTAATATTTACTTAAACAACTTAGACAAAATGTGGACTGATAGAAAGAAAGGGGGATCAATAATTGTAAACCAAAAGATTTATGGATTGAAGTTCGCTGACGACATTGTACTGATTGCTGATACCAAGGAGGGATTACAGGAAATGCTCAATAGCATGCAAGGATACAATGGGAGAAATGGAATGGAGCTAAACGTAAAGAAGACAAAGGTAATGGTGATAAGACGGGGAGGAAAGTTAAAGAGAGATGCAAAATGGAGTTATAAAGGGGAAAGACTGGAAGTAGTAAAGGAATACAAATA